CCCTACTCAGCAGGGAGTTTGCTTCTCCCTCTCCCACTCCCCTTGCTTGTGTTCCCTCTCTCGCTGTGTCTCTGTCAAATAAATGAAATCTTTAAAAAAAAAAAAGATTTATTTATTTGAGAGCGAGAGAGAACGAGCATGCAAGCACACGAGTAGGGGGAGGCGCAGAGGGAGAGAACCTTGAAGCAGACTCCCTGCTGAGCGCCAAGCCCCACATGGGGCTCCATCCATGACCCAGGAGATCATGACCTGAGCCAAAATCAGGAGTCAGTCGCTCAACCTACTGAGCCACCTAGGCGCCACTTTCTCTTATTTTTAAGTAGGCTCCATGCCCAACGTGGAGCCCAACACAGGGCTTGAACTCAGGACCCTGAGATTAAGACCTGAGCTAAGATTAAGAGTCAGATGCTTAACCGACTGAGCCACGAAGGCGCCCCTGTGCTATCTGTTTTAATATAGCATGACACTGCACCTTTTTTACAACAAAGGTAAATCAATTTATTAAATATATCATACAAATTAAAAATAAATATAAAAGTAAATCTACGTAAGCAAAATACTATGTATTTAAAAGATTTATTTATTTTGGAGATAGAACACATGCACATGCACTCAGGGGGGAGAGGGACAGGAGAACCTCAAGCAGGTTCCATGCCCAGTATGCAACCCCATGTGGGGCTTGATCTCACAACCCTGAGATCATGACCTGAGCTGAAATCAGGAGTCAGATGCTTAACCAACAGAGCCATCCATTAATGAATTAAAATTCATTAATAGCTGACCATTTCCTGACTCCTTAATATATATCAAGCACTGGAATAAACACTCTACAAGTATTAACTCACTTTCACACAAGTCTGTAAGAGAGGTTCTCATATAAAAGGTGAGGATATGCAGGCACAAAATGACTGTCATTTGCAAGATTATTCACCAGTAAACGGCAGAGCCAGGATTTTCACCCAGGAAGTCTCATCCAAATTAACTTTAAAAAGTAAAGTAGCAAACCACATAAATCAATCAGGTTTTGTCTCAGGTACACAGATATATACAATGACATATTCACAGGGGTGTGTGTATGTACGTGTACATACATGATTTTATAGAATAGTCTCAAAAAGAACAGTAGATGGAGATATATATCAGTAAGTTAAAATGTTTAGTTTGATTTAGATTCATGAACAATTAAGAGAAAGTTGCCTACACAATGCAGTAAGAATTTATCTTTCATAGTTACCTTTTGAAGAAGAAAACTGGAGGCTGTTTATTGCACTTCTGATATCACCAGAACATCCTTGACAGAGCAACTCTAGAGAACTTTTATCAGGGATAATAATATTTCCTCCATTCTAAAATGAAAAATATTAAAGTTTAAAAAACTAGTTTCTAAAACCAAAAAAACACTCCCCCATTCTCTCAACTAAATGAAAAAGTACATTAGAATCTTTTAAAGATGCTAAAAAGCTTCCATGTTAAACGCCAATCTGCTCAGGAAAGTCAATGATTTATCATAGCTTAAGATAAATTCAAAAGTATAAAATAATTTTACTTATTTACTTGGACTGTTATATTTTGAAGTTCTCTTACTATAATATATATCCATACATATATACGAATTATTACTCCCTTGTCAGTTCAAGTATAAGACCAGAAAAATTTATCTATCCCTCTCCACCTTAAGAAACTCCTAATGGTTTACTGACAACATGACTTAAGTTGAATCCAGGTCATGATCTCAGGGTCCTGGGATTGAGTCCTGCAGTGGGCTCCATGCTCAGTGGGAGTCTGCTTGAGATTCTCTCCCTCTGCCCCTCCCCCTGCTTGTGCACACATGCACCCGTTCTCTAATAAATAAATATATCTTTAAAAAAGATATATATATTTCTGTAGAAGGAAAATTCCCTCCAAAGTGTCTCTAACAATTACTAATTTTTTTTTTTTTTTAAGATTTTATTTATTTGACAGAGAGAGACACAGCGAGAGAGG